CTGGTTTACTTTGGCTGCTGTGTACTCTGCAGGTGCCAAGCCCAGGGATTGCCTTTCTTGATCAATTAATTGTGCTGACAATGCCCTTGTTCTCATGCTCCAGAGCAGGGCCAGGGCAAGTATCATTATATCAGTAGTTGAAGGGATGCTCTGTCCACTCTCTGTGATGTTAATGATTAGACTACTTTTGTAGTTATATTTAGGAAGTCCAGTATGAATCAAGGAAACCATTTAAAAAGCCATGGGAGGGATTAATCAAATACAGCTTGTTTGTTATCTTCCCATTACTGAAATCCATAAAGCTGAAAAGAAGGATTCTGGGATAAGAGGATCCTTTGTTTGGGATCCTATAAAAGGAAACCCACCAACCTGCCTGGTTCTTTGCTAATACAGAAGAGAGACTCGAAAGAATTACACAGCATCCAGTAACCCTGAGCTGGCAAACATACCAGCAAATTACTCTCATCTCTACCATCACATAAAAGATGCTCCAGGTGTGTGTGTGTGTGTGTGTGTGTGTGTGTGTGTGTGTGTTTAATGCTCCACTGCTCTTTTCAAGGAGCACACTTTGAAGTATAGCCCAGGTGGTGATGAGTGAACATAATATTTCTTTCACCTTCTCCAAGACAAGGTAATTGTGCATCATACTTGGCAGTCAGGGGTCATTTTTAATATTTAAATAACATCTGAGTCGGAGACTAAAATTTATAAAGAGCAGTGAGACTCCAGGAAAAAGATGGGAAGCCACTCTTACTTTCAAATGCAATAAAACAGATGGGCCTCCCAGTCCAGACTTAAGCATTAAGATGTTTAATATTCCTTATAATGTTGGAAGCCTACAGAAGGAAATTCTCCCTCCCTCTCTCTCTCTTGCATGCATACACACACACACACACACACACACACACACACACACTTTGCATTGTACACTTACAAGTCATAAAGTTAATTCCAGAGGGCAATATTAGATTTTGTTTTTAAAAACCGAGAATGTCATCTTAGGACCCAGCATCTTGACCAAGTAATTAAATAATGATGGGGAAACACAGTAACAATCCTAAGTGGAGGAAAATAATGATAACTACCATGATAATCATTACCTTGAAATATCCTCAAACACTTTGCAGAAATGATCTAATTATTCCCTTGCACATCCCTCATGGGAAAGGGGTTATTATTTCCATCTTGAAGACAAATACAACATCTACTCTCAATTTATGTGTCATTTCTTCTCAGAAGCTTCATTATTTGTTTTCTTGTTCGTCTCCACAGTATGAGACTTAGACACCCCAAATTAAGTAATTTTTGTAGAGTTAGAGGCAGATTTAATCAATCTATGAACGATTGATTAAAATCTAGTGTTTTCCAAACTGTTTTAATCATACCCCCTATGAAATGATAAAATATTTACAAATATAGATATTTTGAAGGATCGGATACAAAATAAATATAACTAGAAAGTAGTGCTTTTTCTGAGCTTTCCTGGGGTACATGCAGTCCCGCCTTTGGATTGGGAGGCAGGGAGAAAAGGAGGTAGAGAAATCATTAGCATGGTCCCCTTCTTCCTACCCCCCTCAAATAAGGACTGACAATTGCAGCTCTCACAGTGAGTTCCACCTGGAGCTCAAGTGGAGGGCAAAAGGGAAACGGGAAGAAAGGTGAAAGAAGTGAAACTGAGAGTCAAATCCATTTCACCTGCCCTCACTAATCAAGGCCATTTTGAGACTTGCAGGTCCTCCAAGTAGCTTAAACAATAAGATGTTGGCCCACGTTGTTTTAGGGACTTGGAGTCAGCTGTGTCTAGTTGGAACTGAGCTGGTTAAGACTGGGTGGGACCGCTGACCCTCCAACTGGGCATGCGTGGATGCTAGCTCAGCGACATTTTGAACGTGCTTAGGTACGCCTGCGCAGAACCAAGGTTACCGCACCTTTTTCCAATCGCCTTTCCCCATGCTCCCCGCACCCCAGACCACTCTACTTCTTTATTCGTCATCCCATAAATACCCGGAACCCTCTCCTTTCATAGAAGGAGCTTTGAGGTTTGTTCTCCTGTCTCCTCACTTGGCTGCCTTGGGGAAAAACCCTCTCAGCGTTTTGGCTTGCTGTGCTTGGGGCAAAACGAACCTGGTTCAGTAACAGAAGGAAAAAAGAAGAAATGGAAGGGAACAAGAAAGGAGTAAGTAATAGAAACACTGAGCGGCTGTTCCTATATGTCAGTGCTATGACATAGGATGCTACCAAAGGGGCTGTACTAATTTGCTAGGGTTGCCATAGCAAAACACCCCAGACTGGGTAGCTTAAACAATAGAAATGCGTATTCTCAGTTCTGGAGGATAAAAGTCCAAGATCATGGTTTTGGCAGGTTCGGCTTCTCCCAAGGCCTCTTTCCTTGACTCAGGGGAAGGAAGGGCCACCTTCTTGCTGTGTCCTCACGTGGTCTTTCCTCCATGTGCATGTGTCCCTGCTATCTCTCTGTGTCCCAATTCCCCCTTATAAGGACATCAGTCAGATTGGATAAAGGGCCACCCTAACAGCCCCGTTTTCATTTAAGCATCTTTTTGAAGGCCCTATCTCCAAATACAGTCACATTCTTTGACTGGGGGTCGGGCTTCAACATGTGAATTTGGAGGAGATACAATTCAGTCCATAACATGTGCTTTTACTTAAAAGTATCTTCTACTTTCAGGCACGGATGATATTAGAAATATGTAATAACCATACAGCGTGAGCACTGTAGGAAATGGTTGCTGATACACTGAGGCACACTAAAAGTTTTCGAGAGTTTATTTGAGCAAACGTGGATTCACATCAGGCAGAACCAAACCAAAAGTGTTTAGGGGCACTCTGCTGTTAGGAGTTGGGAACAGTCTCTTATAGAGCAGACTCAGAAGTGAAGCAAGGAAACTGAGTGGCTCTAGCTTAAGCAGTTGCCTTACTTAGGAAAGCCTAGGTGGGCTGTTTGTGAATGTTGGTTCCTCGGTTTCATTTTCTCAGATACAAATGTATTTATAGGAATTGACTCTGGCTGAAGTTTCGGCTTGCTTACATTCATTACTAAGGCATTAGAGCCACTCCAGTCTAATGGCCTCCTTGGTCAATTACTTTAACGTGGTCAACCAGGCTCTTTCGCTCTAGTGTGTCACTCACTTTTCCATCAGCTGACCTGAGTCAAGTCCTCTACCTAGTTCGTTTCCAAAGGTGATTCCATCCATCTGCTGAGGGCTTCTGCCCGAGAGCTTATTGGAGACCTTCCAGAGCCTCAAAGATGAGGCTACTTTCTCTGCAGATCCCCAAAGTTTATGTGCATAATAATTCTGACCGTGCACTCATTGAAGAGCGAACCATTGCCTCTTCTTTCGTCCTGTAAGATGACAAGTTACAAATCCAGACACTCCTTGTGTTTTGTGAGAGGCACTTTTCCCTCAAAGCTCCTCGGATTTAAGAGGGTTTCCCAGTTATGTGCTGCTCCAGAGGGCCTCACCAAGGAGTGTCTCATGAAGAGTATGCACGTTTGCCCCATGCTGGCAATCTAAGATTGGGCATACAGCTGGGAAGTGTGACAGCCTCACCTGCTGCCAGCTGCATTGGTTGGAGGAAGTGGATCCCTGGTGACAAGGTTCGGGGAGGTGGTAGTGGTGAAACAAAGTCTCAAGGAGAAGTTCTTTCCAAAATGGCTACAAGACACGTAAATATATACTAGCCACCACTTCAAGAAGAGGTGACATTCAGTGGCTCAATTTTAAAATATGTGAATGGGGATTATATCACATTGTAAACGAAGTTTCCGTTTTAGAATACTATTAATTTCCTGGCTCCTTTAAGTAGTAAGCTTTGTGAATTTACTTGGCAACATTGTTACATGTGTGTGTGTTATGCAATTAAGTAGTTACATATGTGTATTATGTAATTAAGTAGTTACATAAAGTCAGTAGAAATTCATACATGCATGCACATGCTGGAGATTAGACCAAACACTAAGGACACAAAAATGAACAAACTCCTGCCCTTGACAGACTCCTGGTCAAATAGAGAAGGAAAGTGAACGGGCACAATCTAGAGACTGGTTCTCAAATTGAGCATATGCATGAGAATCACCTGGAAGCCTTGTTCAAGCACCTCCCACCTCACCCCCACTCCCCTAGTTTCTGATGCAGCGGGGCCAGAAATTTGCATTTCTAAAAAATTCCTTTGTGCTGCCGCTGTTCAGGGACCACAGTGATCCAGTGTTAGCAGTGTTGGGTGGGGCGCTATGGAAGCCCCAAGAAGTTCCCAGAAGGCTGGAGGGCAAGGGGTGGGAGGGTGGTGGTCAGGGGAAGTTTCACAGGGGCAGTGATTTTTTGTTTTTTTAAAGGATAAGGAGGGAGGGATTAGGATATGCCAAGCACGTTTAGTTCTAAAGGACAAAAGTAGGAGAAAGTACATTACATACAGTTTTTTAGAAAATGCAAATAATTCCATTTGGCTGGGATGAAGTTTGAGTTTGAACTAGTTGCAGGAGATGAAGCTGGAGGGGTATGCAGGGCGCAGAGGGCCCTGTTAGAACATGGTCCTATACAGGATCATATGGCCATGAATCCCCAGAGCTAGACTCCAAGCTGGAAGGAAAGAATCCTGGTAGAAGAACTGTCAGTCGTCTTTCATTAAAGGAGGCTTCTTTCCAAGCCTGGCACACGACTTCCCTGCCTTTGGGGAGAAATCCTTTTCATTTCTATGAAATGACAATACTCCCGGGAGGTGACGTGGTAGAAAGTATGTGTTGATTGCATGTAACCGGAACTGGTTGGGGCTTAAGGTTTTGCTGTTGATCCGTGAACCACAGCGAGGGGGCATGTCAGTACCTTAATAATGATTTGGTTGATTATGATCGACTCTTGGAAAACCCAAAGCTTCACCCACCTCTCAAGGGAGGGCCAACAGGCCCAGGAAGGAGAAAGTGGGAGAGAGGAAAACCCTGATAGCACAGATTTTGATGAAATATTTCTTCATTCCTTTCTCTCTAGGGGAAGATGATGATGATGATGAATGTGGGGACGAGAAGCTGCCCTCCTGCTTCGATTACGTGATGCACTTTCTGACTGTGTTCTGGAAGGTTCTCTTCGCCTTCGTCCCCCCTACAGAATACTGGAACGGCTGGGCGTGTTTCATCGTCTCCATCCTCATGATTGGCCTACTGACGGCTTTCATCGGAGACCTGGCTTCCCACTTTGGCTGCACCATCGGCCTGAAGGATTCCGTGACCGCGGTCGTGTTCGTCGCGCTTGGAACCTCAGTGCCAGGTAATGAATACATACATCCCTGTGTGATTCCCCCAGGAGTGGAAGCCCATTTGCTTTCTTGAACCCTTTGTTCCTACAATTTCAAGTGCCGTGCTAACAAACCAGGCCTATGAAAGACAGAAGCCCAGAGCTGTGCATAATGTCACTGCCAGAACATTGTCATGGCATTTCTCAAGGTTAGAAATCTGGTCAGTATCATCATGACAGTATAGCATTCCCAGAGGGCCTGCCTGCACGGAGAGAGCAGATTGATTTGATGGCCAGATTGATAGGTCAGCTTCCCATTACAATTAGAACTTTCAAAAGCACAACTGCGGAATTATCTTCAAGAACAAAATCTCTGTCTTCTATGTATTTAGTCAAGTTTGGATGAGGCGCTGTATTTGTTGAGTAACTAAGATAAATACTTAAGACCTGATGATTCTCTTGACCCAGATATTAATGGGAGTAAATAAAAAGCAGACATGGATCAGAACAGGAAAAAGTTACCCAGAGCAAAATGAGCAGGCCAGGTGGACATCCCTTCATGCATTCCCGCTAAGCTGAATTTTTCTTCCAGCCTGCAACTGTAGCTCATTATGTGTACTCGCTCTTCTGAGTAAGATCTCATCCTCCTGAACATAACATTGAGAGCAGTAATTTTCAAACTTTGATGGGCATCAAAATTACCTGGGAGTTTGTTTTTAAAAATGCAAATGCCTGAGACCCACAGCCAACCTATGGAATCAGAAGGTCTAAAGAAGGGCCCAGAAGTGTGTGTTGAGCTCACAGGTGATTCTGATACACATCAGAGCTTATTGTAACTGAAGTTCTGGACCCACTTCCCATCACTAGCTGACATCTTGACAGATGTGTAGTCTCAACTTAGAGCAACAAGACTTGCATCTCTACCAACAGAAGGTCAGTGACAAGGGTTGCAGTGGGCTTGGGAAAAGGCAGGAATTGAGGGGAAATACAGCCCTGCGGATGGTGCCATTCCCCTCCCACTGTCCGACTTTGCCACAGCCTTAATGAAAATGCTGTGACTTCTACTAACACTGGCCATAGTTGGCAACCTGGCTTTTGAGTCTGAAAGCAAGCACAGTTGAAACCATGTGTCTCTTGACTGAAATCACTGGCTATTCTTCTCAGATATTCATTATCTCAGTGACTGTGGATAGATTACTTCTCTGAGCCTCGGTTTCTTCATTTATGAAATAGGGACAACCGTATTAACTTGCAGAATCAGGGTAAGGATTGGAGAAAACGCCTATAAAATTATATAGCTAGGAAAGCATCTGGGACATGGAATTCAATAAAAGAGCAGCGCTTGTGATTATGGTGTTGAATGGCCAAGGAGGATCTGATGAGTGTGAATTTGGACGCCTCACCCTTGAGAACAAAGGATGGATGAAGGGTCCAGATTTATCCTGGTGAGCCGTGGCACATGGTGTATTACAACTGATCGACTGTTTAGGAGTCCTGATCATGCTGGGCCCAGCACGGTTTTGGGGGTCCAGCTGAGTTATGGAGGAGCTGAGGGGTGTCGAGAGTGTTCTCCCTCCCCGCCTTAGTGAGCAGGGCTGTGCAGAGTCTTCCGGTTGACTGCTGATCAACCGGGGTTGATTGATCCCCCCTCAACCCCAGCTGTGTTCCAACAGGTCTATATTTGGTCTTTATTTTTAACTTTTTCCAAAAATGATCAGAAATGTAGCAAGCAAGAGGAAAAACTTAAAGTATTCATATTAAGTTGCTTTGTTTAGAGAACATGTATACAACCACAGGAACTAAGCATCATCGTTAGCCATGGCTCTGTCAGAGGTTACTGTAGGAAAATGTCTGGGGGAGCCTTCTTTCCTTAAGGCTTAAATCACTGTCAAGCGGTGCCCAAGTTAGTACACACTCTCAGCCATGGGTTTAACCCTTGAGGAGAATGTGTGCAAATTATGGTAATGAAGGCAAACTTAGGTCTCACGACAGTTATCCAAAATTAGCCTGCCTTTCTGAAAAGTCAGCAGTTGATTCTACCGAATGCATCTCTTGCTTTAAAAGGGATTTTAAAAATGTTTTCCCTACATGAAATCCTTGGGCCCTCTTTTTCTAACTCGTCATAGCAGTATCTCAAAACTGGCTCCTTTTTCTGTACACCAATCTGCCAAAATGGCTCTGTATCTCTTGTATTAATGAACTCTTTTGAACAGTATGAAAGCCGTATGGTTAAAAACTTTTCTGTAACATGAAATGTGGATTACAGTGAACCTAGTGCTCGGAGTCATTTGTTCTGCCATTTGAAAGCAGCTCAGAACCCAGGTAGGGGTATCAAGAGGTAAGAAAGCCTGTGGGGTAATACAGCAAGTCATTAGTTGTCAAAATGGTTTCCCTAC